GAAGTGGCCAATCCAAACAAGGTGCGCACCGATGGATGCAGTATAGAATCTACTCCGAACTTGTCCTTTTTTTTACCCGCTTACGCCTTTTTAGACGAAATGGCCATTTTGCGAAGTCGCTCAAGTGCAATATTGGACATATAATCCGTCTTTGGCATAATGCTGGGCCAAAACAAGCAGTTAGGTCATTTTATGTAGTCCAAACTCAAACGGTGAGTCAAAAAGGCAATATTGTGTCTTATTTTACAATTTGTAGATACGATTCCTTACAATACTGCTCATATACTACCCATCTATCTACAGGCGTTTAGCATATCAGATTCGAAAGGCAGATTTGAAGCCACCGTTCCTTACTGCATTTAATAGTACGCAACTTGTTCGGATTGACACTTCGACTTCGTTGTTAGCCATTCTTCTCAGTGAAAGTGAACTAATCAGCAGCCTTGAGAGTGATGGACTTCTAGTTTAACGGAGCCTCCTCACGAATACTGCGTTTTGAATGAAAGCTACGGAACTAGGTTTCCTCACTTGCCATTTCAAAATCATTTTAACTTGTGAACATAAAGAAATGCACCCTAATTTGGAATTATTTTTTGTAACCTTTAGGCAGTAGTAAAAGGACATAATGGATTGTAAGGGCGAATTCGAGGTGAATTTCCGCGACAAAAAACCATCTCTAGTTTGAACGGAGCCCATGCGCGAAACGTTTTGTCAAGAAACGCTACGCTTGAATGCGGCGGTCAAACTGTTTGCAGTTGTTTCGCCATTCTGATGGACATAAAGGAGGCCATTTGGAACGACATGATAGAGAAGGTCGCGAATGACGTTTTAAAGGACCTCAAAGTGCCTTGTGATGTCCAAGCCATCGGTCGTGTACTATCTGTTGTGTGTTTAGCATTCTCGCTGTTTGTATTCACATTCTTCAGGTATTTTCAACTAACTCAATCATCGCGGAATATCGATCACATTTTAGATCTCTCCACAATGTTCGAAATACTATTCATTGCAACCTGTGCTTCAGTCTGTTCGTTTACGATCTTGTGGCTTTGATTAGTAAGGGATACGACAATTTTATCTAGCAGTTGCGTATGCGTGCTACCAGTTTCGCAGAAACAACGCTAGTGTCGCGCAATTTCAATGTCTTGGGTTGACAACAAAGTTTGCAGCTTTTTCAATAAATCCTCTCTTTGTACGTAGGATACCCAATTTTGGCATGTGTAGAATATGGTGTGAAATAAACGCGCGCAAATCGTTCAACTCTTAACAGGGAGACTAGGAGAAATCTACGCCGATAGCTGGTATAATTCGAGGTTCAAGTCTTCGACATCTAGAGCAGAAATGAAGCGGCAACCTGAATCAAATCTTCTGCTGAGCATTCATAAATGGAAGCGGTGGAAGATTACTCAAGTTTTGATTTTCCTGAGTTTGGCCGTTATCATATCTATAAAGCTGAATGTGTGTCTGTCTGTATGTGTGTATGTATGTCTGTACGTATGTGCGGAATAGAAATTTTTATTTCTGAACCGATTTGAACCAAACTTGGCACACATGTAATTCGGGGTAGGGAGCGTGTCATAGGCTACTTTCGTTATCGATCGATATCGATTTTATCGATTTTTTGCAAAATTTGAGCTACGGGGCTGGGAGTTGGCACAGGGGGGTAATCGAGCATGCTGATTACAAATATGTTATTGACAGGGCCGGGCGGAGCCGGGTTTGCCAACTAGTAATCTATAACTTGCAGTAAAGTTCAAGTCTGTATTAGCTTTTATTATCTGCCCTTTCTGACTATGCAGAGCTTGTGCTGATTGAATCTCTCTATAAAAAGTTATGATTTCTAAAAAAAAGCCAAAAAATCGAATTTGCTGCTTTGTATTAATCGCTTATCATCATAGCTTTTCTTATAGACGTTCAATTGGCACAAACCTTGTCTAGTTAGAAGGGCAGGTAATAGAACCTATAATACTGACCATAGGTGCGATTGTGTGAGAATTGCTCCCCCCCCCCCTCACCCCTGAGCCAAGACCACGATGACCCCTCACCAAAAGCCGAGAAAAAAATCAACATTGAGGCAAGGTTAAGCAAAGGAGATAATTGTACGTGAATTGCTTATGTATAGAAAAGGAGGAGTCTGTTGAAAAGTGCTTGGTGAAGGGTGTGGGTAGTGATTTCTGGATATTGTCGAGTTTTTATCATAAGAAAATTCATAAATTCAATAGATGAACATCTTGTACGCCATGATGGTCACCACTGGAACTGTCTCGTGCTTCGCTTTTAGAAAGTATTAGGTTGTCCGGAAAATAATGTCGCATGGCATCCTACCGCGACAGAATGACCATAAAAAATAGCGAATGGGGTATCATTTGATAGAGCAAAGCAAGCTCTACAAGATAGTTTACAAATTTACGCGGAAGTCGTGCTCCACCTGAAGTTCGAATCCAAAATGTAAAATAATTTTAGATATTCGAAAAATCGTATCTCGGTTCATAGACGTCTTATGGAAGTTTGCACAGGCATGTACTCTCTACATGGACATTCACATGTATAATTTGTGGTATTTTCCCTTGGCTACAGTACGAGAAATGAAAAGAGGTCAAAAGTGCGAATATGTCGCGTTTTTCGGGTTTTTTGCAAACAACTTGATTTTTTTCGAAAACTAGCGCTTTTCTAAAGCTGAAAATTCATGATTATACTCCTAAAGGTTCATGCTACAGGATCACCCATGTGAGAGAAGCACAGGATTGTTTTGGCAAAAATGTGCCGAAATTCATTTTCTCAATTTTCGGCCATGGAAAAACCGCGAAAATGTGTATACGAGTGTCACATATAGTGAGTGCATGCGTAAGCAAGTTAGGGGTTCCCAGGGCTTTTCTAAACAGAGATACGATTTTTTTCGTTTTTTTAGGTCTTTACTGCCTTGTGAAATTTGGCTCCAAACTTCACGTAAACCAAACCTGGCGCAAAGGCTCAAGCTTCATTTTGTAGAGCTTGTTTTGATCTATCGGTTGGTACCCCATTTACCTACTTTCATGCTCACCCTGCCGCGATTTTGCACGTTAAAATAAAAAGCGACATTATTTTCTGGATAACCTAACATGTCTGATCGTGAGTTCCGTCCTAAAAAGTGCGGTGAAGGGTGTGCCTAGAAATTTGTAGATATTTACGAGTTTTTAGGATAAAAAAAATCCATAACTTTAGTAGATGAACAACTTGTACATGTAATAGTCACCTTAGAAACCTCTTCGTCCTCCGCTTCCAAAAAATATGTAGCACTTCTGAGATCCGTCCAAAAAAGTGCCTGGGTGAAGGATGTCCTAGTAATTTCTGGAAATTCGAGTTTTTGACATAAGAAAATTCATAACTTTTGTAGATGAATATCTTGTACGCCGAGATGGTCACCTCTGGAACCGGTGTACTCCTGGTGTTCCTTACAAAAAATGCCGGGTGAAGGGTGGCTGAGACTCTTGCAATGGGAGTGCTCAAGTAGAGGCTTTTTTACTACTGTAAACGTCTACTTGAGCACCCTTATTATAAAAGTCTCACCCACCCTTTATCCGGCACTTTTTGTAACGAACTCCAGGCAAAAAACGGTTCCAATGGTGACCATCCCGATGTACAAGATGTTCATCTACAAAAGTTACGAATTTCTTTATGTTAAAAACTCGAAAATTTTCGGAAACTATTACGACACCCTTCACCCAGGCACTTTTTTAGATGAATCTCAGACATGCTATATATTTTCTGAAAGCGGAGGACGAGGCGGTTCCAGTGGTGTCCATACTCGCGTAAAAGGTGTTCATCTTCAGAAGTTACGCATTTTTATCCTAAAAAACTCGTAAATATCCAAAAATCACTACCCACACCTTCACCAGGCACTTTTTTCAACAGACTCCAGGCAAACTATATATTCTCTGAAAGCGGAAGACAAGATGGTTTTAAAAACATTCCCGTTGCTGACGTTGCTGTTCATCTACAAAAGTTACAAATTTCCTCTTTTAGAAAATTCGCAAATACTTGAAAATTGTTTAACTCTTTCCGAAACAAATATTCTCGCATGCAAATCTTCTATGGTAATTTTTTCAAATCAGGCAGGGTGGTTCCAATCCTACTTCAGTGTTTAAAAACCTAGGTTATTGGCAGTTTTGGATTTTTTAGTGCAGTTCTGGAATTTTTAAAGTGTCTGCCTCAGAATTCCGAAGTTGAAGTCATTTTCTTTCTTAAGTTTATCTCTGCATTGAAAGCTTACTAGAGTGTAGGGAGTGTAGGAATGAATAGTGAATGTGCCATTGTAACTGTATACTTTCTAACAAAATCAAAATCATGAATATTGTGATAGGAAAAAGTTACGATTTTTTTGAAAGTGGCGGGACAGAGCTTTCGAACCAACCTAGTATATAAAGAAGTAAAAACTTATATTCAAGCAAACAAATTTTCGCATGAAAAAGAAATCGGAACCACACTACTCCCCTCCCTCCCCCTCCCCCCCCCCCCCCCGGTCGACATGTTATGATTTCGAGACCAACTGAGACACCCTTCACCCGGAGGGGCTGCGACCGCTGTGACCCCCTTCACCCTGGAGGGGTCATTCTCACCTTATCGCACTTATGATGCTAACTCCTCCGTTTTTTGCAAATTTCAGATTTTTTTGCGACCGATCTAAAAAGCAAAAGTGATTTTTTATACTATCTATGAATATTTACCTTCTATCCATGAAATGTACGCTCAGCAGATAGCCGCTAACTTACTTCCTTCCCCGCTTCCTCTTTCAAACATATATAGTAGGAGTTGTGAAAATCAGAACTTACAAATTTTTAAAAATGGTGAGGAAAGTTTTTACAGAACTTTCGCTGCAACCTACTAGTATCTTCCCAAGCTTTGTTAGAGCGTGTCATTGTGTTTGTGATGATTTCTTCAAATACATGGTTTCCTAAGGGCCAACTATTGAGAATTGGGTATGTTGTGCAATAGTGACGATTCTGGACCCTTACTCTGACATTGCAATGTTCTGCTGGATGCTAGTAGAAGGCTATCAACTGTACTTGTCGTTGATCCAAGTGAGTTACGACAAGCACTCCACTTGTCGGATATCTCATTTTCAGGTGTTTGATTCTAACAAAACACGTATCTTACCATACTGTTTATTTTCGTATGGTTTCCCAGCCGTCGTTGTAGGTGTAATATTCAGTTGGGATGGCTATGAACCTGATCAGAAGTATATCATTATTTTATTGACCCATGAACATTGCGATCATACCATGTTTAGATGCTTTGGGGCAATGCCGTCATCACAAGCAGATTTGGCTCTCTTTGTACCAGATTTTATTATTATTTTGGTATTAAGCTCTGTTCTTTGTGCATCACTATCATTATACTCATTTTCGTTCTGTCGCAGACAAATGTCATCATTCTTGTTATTGCGTTGAGAGTGCTTCTAACGGTGAATAGTCGTGATCGTAGCAGGAAAGATAGACTCTTCCGGTGGCTGAAGGTGTGCTATTATTTTTGATAACTGAGTCTGCACTTAGTTTATTACAGGGATTTGCCACACTATTATGCTTACTAGGTGTCACTCACTTATTCTATTTCTTGTGGTTACTCCATTTATGGGATGATGTGTTTGAATGGATGCATGTTGTCTTCAATAGCCTACAGGTGAGTTGACTATCTAACCAGTGGTTTACTCATGAAATAATGATTGAGCCGCGAGTTAGTTAAAATCACAGTTTGTTTCGTTCGCACAGTAATGCACGTTTTAGAAATAACTATACTCCGATATTTTAAAAGAATGCGAATTATTAGGTTGGCACGAAAGTTCTTGCGTAATTCAAACAAAATTCAATAACTTTTCAAAGGCTAACCTAAACTCACAAAATTGTATGCTAAAAATATTAGAAGCCTTACGCTTCATGATGGAAGTTTAAGCACGACATTACATGAGCTAGCCCTCGAGAACGAAGCTCTCAAATATGGGGCTCCAAATTTTGCGATTTTGAGTTTGGTGGCAGAAAATCGCAGAGGGCCGCTAGCTAGCCGAAAAAAATCTGTAGAGTTTACTTACACAGCAAAAGTCTATGCGTTATTTTAGCAGGCTTTGATCTCGCATGGAAATGCTAAAACAAAAAATTTGTAAAATTTCTCATTTCACAGGACAAATCCCCTTATCGCTCTAATTTTTCCACAGAAACACAGTTTGCAACCAGAAATTAGACGTAGTTCCTATTTAGAGTCTTGCGACGTTTTCTCGATTGTAAAAAAGTGTTTTCGCCGGAAAACTGCGGACGTAGGAGGATTTTTTCCGCAAAATGACATATTTCACGAATTTTTTTTTGCTTCACCATGCAAGATCAAAGCCTTCCAAAGTAACATACGGACTTTTGTTGTGTAAATAAATTCTACAGATTTTTTTCGGCTAACTAGCGGCAATCTGCGATTTTCTGGCACCAAACTCAAAATCGCAAAATTTTAAGCCCCATATTCGAGAGCTTCGTTCTTGATGTCCAGCTCACAGAATCTTATGCTCAAGCAACCATCATGAAGCGTAAGGCTTCTAATATTTTTACCATACAAGATTGTGAATTTAGGTTTAGTCTTTGAAAAGTTATTGACTTTTGTTTGAATTACGCAAGAACTTTTGTGCCAACCTAATATAATTATATGCCCCTATATTCCTATATGTTTCTTTACCACAATCCGCGACCGTTTGGTGCGAGGTGCATATCTTCAGCAAAATTTGAACGCTGATCTCAAACACACTTCCGTATTTGCGGGATCCCTTTCTGGAAGGAGTTATGGAAGCATAGAAATTTAAATTCTGAGCCATTCTTATATGCAGTTGCCAATTCACGTTGATGGTGTGATGCTTAAGTGCTGCCCTCAGAGGCGAGATACTGCTTCTAAGAAGGAGGACGAACCTTTTTTCTGCATTTTGAGTGCCATCTGCAGGCACTTGCAGTTGTATTTGACGTATTTGACCTCAAGGAAACGTTTTCTGGCAGCGTTTGCTTGCTGCTTGTTGAAGTTCTGTTCACATTAATTGATGTACAGAGGTGGAAATTACAAACACAGACTCTTCTCACAATGGGAACAATGTGAGATTAGGGCAGACTACACTGCTTGCAGATAACTTCGAGTGTGTATCGACTTATAATTGAAATGCAAAAGAGTTCGCTCTCAACCGGGTTTCAACAACTACACACTTCAACTGTGTAAGGAATATTGTACAATTTTTTTGTATATTCTGCCGTCTTTCAGTACGTTTTGCCTTGCTCGAAAAATGCTAAACTTGATCAGTTCTCTTCGATTACTTGTATCTTCAACATTTTCTTTCAACAGAATATATCAAAGTAAGCGCTGCAAAAAATGGTTCCCTCTATTTGTTAGACCCATTTCAAAATCTTGATACAACAAGAAGTTGTGTTTTTTGATAAGGGTGCGACAGAACTTTCGGTTCAATCTAACATTAGGTTGGTTCGGAAGCACACGTTGTTTTCCAGAGTTACCTTAGAAGCATGTGAAATGAGGTTTTCTTCCTCATCTAGTCATGCTTCTATACTAATTGCTTTGGTGATCACTGAGCATAATCGCCACCATGTCCAGATTAAGCAGTCATTTGAAACCTTCATTTTCGATTTTTAGAAGTGCTTAGTGGCAGATGGATTAGACAAAGTGTAAAGCAATGCATGTTTTGGCACATAACATGAGCTTTTCAGAATTTTTCAAAATGAGTTTCCTAAAAGTCTTTTTTTTTGCGAACTTGTGTCATACACGAGCGCATCAAACTTCAATAAATCTTCGAACTTGAAACTTCCAAAAGTCGATTACGATTTAACTGAGGTTGGTGTTGTTTCTATCCAAATTCCTCATCCCCGTATTGTAGGTCTGAAGAACGAAACGAACTTTCAACCCGACCTAATTATTTACTAATAAAAACAGGTTGATCGTTGAGGATTTGATAATCATTTTGATTATTAAGTAACAACAGATCATTTTTATCCGAAGAAGCTTTATTAGCCACTTTTGAAAGATATAAAAATAAATGTGATTATTTACATTAGGTGCGCAAAAGATCTTTCCGAAATTTGGGCTTAGTCTCAAATCCCGTAAAGTAAAGACAAACAGATGCCTCAAACAGTATTGATGCAGACTACTATTTGTTACGTTTGAGAAGCGATTCTTCCGACGAGCGTTGAGATAATTACCAAAGCTTACAATCCTTCATTTTTGACATGTCTAAATTTTGCTAATTCTTAGGATTTTATCTGAGACTTGAAGGTGCTCTAATCGCCGACTTAGCAACTTTTCGGGTTTTACGTTACAATTTTTCAAGGAGTCCTACTAACAATTGCTCAAACTGTTTTTAAATTGCATTACTGTTCAAATTAAATGTCATGGCCCGTAGTAAACCCACAAAATATGTCTTACTGTAAAGAAAGCAAAGTCAGGACGTGTCCGACTGAAGTACATGTTGCTCACGACCGTGCCTTGATTGCCGCAAAGCTTGCACGCTCACGCGCGATTAGACCCTTATAATGCCGTTTACAGCTCACACTGACACTGCGCTATTGATATCGCCTCAAAGTAGAGAAGTCAAAGTTGAAGCTAGCTAGGCAAAGATTCTACAGACAGAAAGGTCGCTTAAGACTGCCAAAGAGCAAATCAACAAACTTTGATGTCGGCCTGAGTATTATGGATTTGTTAACTTAATGCCTTCACTGATAAGCTGCTGGAACTCTTACGAAAGCTACCATAGCCAGTGCCAGCACCTCGCTAATGGTGGTGGGTCGAGAACTTGAGCGCTTATGTTTTGCAAGTTGCTGACTAATTTCATTTCATTTCATTTGTACGCTCAAGGCGTTCCATAAAAAAAAAGACACATCAAGAAGTTAGTAATACAGTGGAAACGAACAAGACATGTAAACAAATGCAGACATCATCATGTCAGTCCGAGTCTGATCCTAATCAGACTAATGTGAGAAGATAAAACAGCTTGCACTGAATATGTTGGTAGGCTAATAGATAAGTATGCAGATGTAGGCATGAGATTTATAACTCCAAAACTTTGAATCCATGGAGATGGGACGCATGCCCCCTCGTTGCCACCGGAACGATCTTTAGTTATTCCTAAAGCAATCCGGCGGCTTATAAGGCAGGTCTACTGGCTCAGGTATAATAACCATAACCCAACCTAGCCGGAATGCTGGGGAGGCCCAATGACCCCAAAGGTGAAACGATTCTCATTGAATCCATTTGTTGAAATAGCAAGCTGTACGATTGACTACTAGATAGCTGAACGAAAAAGACTCGGACTGAGATGCTGATGAAACTGTGTTAATAACTAGAACAAAACGAGTACAACAAAATAAAAGTTTGACGCAACGTGAGGAGGTACACGAGAGGCGTCAAAGAAATAATTTACAGCCACAACTGAACCCGCAAGTCAATGCAAGATCAACGAGCACCTGAAAACAGGTTTTAGAGGTAAAATGGAGAAGAAAGTCTACTCCTGAAAATATGACTACTCTCTGCACTAGTGGTCTCAACCGGGAGGTGCGAAAGCCACCTAGCCGACCTGTAGAACACGTTGTTGAACATCAGCAAGTTTCTCTTGCGCCGGATTCTTGGATATTGCAAGTTAAAAGAGCCTGACCTTTCGCTTGTAGGAACAAAAATCCAGTATTTACTGGCTCTTAGCTTGTTCTCTCTTCTCAGAACTTGAAAACAGAATACAAGATCCAAGAAAGCACGACGGTTTGTTAAGGATTTCATATGAAACCTCTCAAGCCGGGTTTGGTAATTGGGAGGGGTGGTTCCGGGCGATAAACGTCTATACAACAGTCGTGTAAAAAGCTGTTGAACCTTTTCAATTCTGCGAATATCCTTTTTACGAAAGGGGGACCAGACCTGAGAACAGTATTCTAAATGAGGAAGAACTAATGCTTTATAAAGCGGTATAAGTATCTTCGGAGAACTAGCATTAGTATTGCGGAAAAGCAGAAAGAGTGAAGAATAAGCTTTTTTGACTAACGTATTGATATGCTCAGTGAAGTTAAGATTTGTATCAGTCACGACACCCAAATCTCTAACAGTATCACAACTCTTCAATATAGAGCCTTTGATGTTATACGTGGCAGTATTTCCACCTCCAAGATGAATCACTGAGCATTTGTCAAAATTTAACGCTAATTCCCAGACCTCACACCAATTGGTCAAATTATCAAGAGACCTTTGCAAGTCCATTTGAATCTCTGGAGCTACTTCCGGATCATAGACTGCAAAGATCTTTATGTCATCAGCATACATCCGGATGTGTACGCTGGAAGTCTTCAAAGTAGAAGGTAGGTCAAGGGTGTAAATCAGGAAAAGCAAGGGGGCTAAGACACCACCCTGCGGAACACCACTAGTGCAGAAGTACTTTTTGGAGTAACGATGACCAACTCTCACAGTCATATACCGATCATGCAAATAAGAAGTCAACCACGAAAGAAGATTTCCTTTAATCCCTAATTTGTTCATTTTAGTTAGTAATTTAGCATGACAGACCTTATCAAACGCTTTCGAGAGATCAACATAAACAATGTCAACCGATTTGCCCTCGTTGATTGCTAAGCTCCACTCGAACACACTACCAACCAGATTTGTTGTGGTGGAAGCACCATTCAAAAAGCCATGTTGTTCATCGGGGATCAAATCCGAAACCTTTAGCCATTCCAAAAGTTTTTCACGTATAATTCTTTCCATGATCTTAACAGGAGTGGGAAGCAAGATAATTGGACGGAACTTATCAATTCGACATGCTCCGTCAGTTTTTGGAATTGCTGTAACCAAAGCTTCTTTCCACAAGTCAGGGACCTCCCCCCACAACATCGAAATGTTGAATATATGTGCAAGCGGAGCCGCAAGCGACGAGGCGCATTTTAGGTATACTATCTGAGGGATGCCATCAAATGTTTCAGTTATGGAAGGTTTTAGTTTCATAAGGAACTGGTAGACATTTGCGGGATGAAGATGAACATTATTGCAAAAATGGCGAGGCAGCACTGCATCAGCGCTTATTCTGCCAGCATCACTATCACTGTCCCTAATAGCGACAGGAGAGTGAACCCTGGCAAAATAGGCACCAAGAGCATCTGCCTTATATTTATCGCTAACATAAGAGGTACCAGAAGAATTTGTCAAAGTAGAGAAACGTTGGGAGGGCTTCATTTTATTCTTCAAATACGAAAAAAGATATTTAGACGACTTCCTTCTAGCAAGCATTCGTTCACGATATGACAAATATTTTTTTATGTGATAGTCTATATCAGCACAAACTTTTTTATACAACGGGCAACTCAAAGGATTGGGCAGAGTATCAAAAAGACGTTGTTTTTGAGATATTAAAAAGCGAATGTGTGGTGGCAGGTCGATCTTATGAATACCAGGAACTTTGACCCCAATCGGAACAAATTTGCTAAAGGCTTCATAAACTGTTAGGCGAAATCTTTTGTAGACTTCAGAACATGAGGTATAATTATTGAATAAGGAGAGCCAATCTACATTAAAGAAGTAAGAATCAAGAGAGGAATAGTCAACACTGAGAAAATCAGGCAAGGGTAATGTGGAAGCAGAGGAATTCGAAAATTCGATCTCGAAGGTGACAATCCTATGATCCGAGGACCCAAGTGGCTGAAGTGTGCCCACATGCGAGATGAGTGAAAGGCCGAGAGCACAATGTCGAGAGTATTGCTATGAGTCGGTGAGGTCACATATTGCTTTAGTCCACAGTTGTTTACAAACTCCAGAAAAGGGCAAGAGGCAGCATTGAGGGATTTCTTGGCCATCCAATCAATTTGCAAATTGAAATCTCCGAGTATGATAGTTGGAATGTTCTCAGAAGCAAAATTGCTAAGAATCTCCAGTAATTCATCATCATCATTATTATTCGAATTAGGTGGGCGGTAAACCGTGATAAACTGCATTTGGCACCCTCGGTCAATGTCAAAAACTTTAATTCCGAGTAAATCAGCTTTGATTTCAACGTTCAAATCAACACATGTGGCGAGAAAATGGCTTTTAATAATGCAACAAACTCCACCACCTTTGCGTCTACGTCG